CATTAGATATCATTGATGTTTTTCTCGGTATGAATCAAATTGTCTTTCATAAGTTGTCATTCATAACTTTTCTTTCATAAGAATGATAAGTTGTCTTTCATCAACTTGAAAGACAATTAGCACATAGAATGTATGGTTTTTGATTGATTGATATTTCTCCTTTATTGAGTGTTTTAAACTTTCGGCAATTCAAACACTATGTGAGTTCATTCATTGCTTTGCTTTTGTTTTTTTCTTGTGAGTTTGTCTCTGGGTTTTGTTTTCACAAGTACATCTTTCACAAAAGACATTTTATTTGTAAGAGAAGTGTTGTGCAGTTTGGGTAAGCTATGAAAGATGTAAGTTTGGAAAAATGATAACTTTGTTAAGAAGAACACACTTCGATTTAAAATCTTCGTATAATAGCCAAAATTTATTGTACTAATACTCGTGCGGATTGTCTTGCGAAGACGAGAAGAGCACCATGGTTTCCTTTTTTCTTGTATGTTCGTTGGTTCTAGATTGACTTTCTTTTTAAGATATCATTTTTCCGCAATCTTAATGAATGAAATATGGTAATTTGATGTCCACAAACAAAATGTGATGAATCTTAGAAACGGAAACAACTTCTCTCACTTGCACAATATTTTGTTTACACAAATCTAGGATATACAAGAATATGGCTTTTCATAGAGATTCTAAAAGATCTTATGCAAGCAGTGGCTGCCTCTAAAGAATGGCCAAATGCTACAAACGTTAACTAAAAAAATTAACAACACAAGAAGGAGATATTAGACCATTTATTCAAGTTTATGATGAAATTTAACATTCATCTTTGTTGGAAAGGTATGGTGAAATTTAGTTTGTAGTTTTCTAATTGTTGTGATTGGTTATAAATTATAATTATGTGAATTATGTTGTAAAGTTTTGAGTTTTTAATTAAAAAATTCCTGGAATACGCTTTTCAACTTCAGGCCTGAGATATATATATCTTTGGTTGAAAATTGAGATTGAGATTGTGAGTTAATCCCAAAACTTGAACTCTCTCGATCGAAATTCTCACTGAATTATCTCAAAATTCGACGACCCATTACTCCAGCTTCCTCGATCTCATCTGGGTTTGTGAAATTCCGAGTTTTTATTTGGTGGTGAATGAGGAATCTACATAGCAATGGAAACCTTCGGAAACTAGATTCCGATGAAGGAGAAACAACGGAGGACAATTCGTGCCAGAACGGCTTCGGAGATGGCGTCATTTTGGGCCTTGACGGTGGCGCAACCTCAACGGTTTGCGTGTGCGTTCCATTTTCCCCCTACGGCGATCGCTTACCGGAGCCTCTTCCAATCCTCGGTCGAGCCGTCGCCGGTTGCACCAATAGCAACAGCGTAGGAGGTCTGTTCTTATCTCATTTCTCCCCAATTTCGAATTTTTCTCATCTCTTCGGCTTTATTATCTGGTTTTTGGCTCTGGGCAATTGGAATTTTTGGTAATTTTGTGATTCTTCAGACATCTTTGAACGAATGTTTGGCTCTCTTAATCCGTAATTTGATCAAGTTCTGCTGCAATGTGGCAATTTGCCTATAGCT